CTATCGATGAAGTGATCAGCTGCTGATCAGTTTATGTCTGATTAATCAACTAATCTGAACCTTTCATAGTTGCAGCTTTGAGGTTTTTGTTGTGTGAATGTTAAATCAATAATCTGATCAGCAGGCAGATTGTCAGACGGAGGTTGTCTCTGCTTGACTTCCTGCTGTGTGAGCGACAGCGACCACAGCAGTGATCAATAAAGGATTCTGATCAGTGGACTAGCTCGAGTCTCCAGCTCCTCAGGGTCATGTGACCACATTCAGCAGATTGTTGAGAACATTGATTATTGATTGTGTGGGTTGGTCAAAGGTGAGACAGGAAGTGAAGAGTCAGGTGTTGAGTGTTTTGGCCCGCAGCTGTCAGAGGGTTAAGCTCCTCCCCTCAGTGACACTGCCTGACCCTCCACTGGGCGAGGCATCGGGAGCATGAGTGTGCGGCCCGGCTGCACGCGCTCGGTTTACAGTAAATGTCCTGACTCCTCCCCCTGCAGGTATGGTTCTGGTCCGGACTGAGACGGGTCAGCTGGTCATGGTCCCCCAGCAGGTCCTCGCTCAGGCTCAGGCCAAGACGCAGCAGAGCCAGGCGGTGACGAGCATCACGCAGAGACCCGCCACGCCGACGGCCGCCACCACCATCCGGGTGAGCGCTGCCCCCACGGTAAGCTCCGCCCACACAATGCAGGTACCAGAGTTTTTTACTTCACATTTAACTTTTGTTTCACTGTCATACTCCCAATCTGACCAATCACAGTCAAGTCCTTCAGTAGGGGCGGGTTTCAATAATCAATAATCAATTCTAGCTTGAATGAGGCGAAATCGATTCATTCAAATCCTGAATCCATTTTTAAATATAAATTTATTTTGCCTGAAACGCCAGAATCTCAGGTTCAACCTCACGAAGTTTCTACAACAACAAACAGCTGAAACAGGAAGTGAGAGCAGGACTCTGCACACAGACGTAAACACAAAGCGCCGACGCGTCAGAATCAGCGAGCTGTCGGCTTTCAGCCCCAGCGGCGTGCCGTGTGCGTGCCATCAGGTGAGGAAGCCGACAGCTCACAGATGCTGACGCGTCGGGAGGTCGGCGCTTTGTGTTCACGTCCTTTTTGCGCTCGATTCTGACGCCGTAGTTTTGTCTCTCCAACCAAACTTTACTGAAGCAGCAGAAGATCCAAACTACGCGTCACATAAACATCGTCATGAACTCTGACTTTGGATGTTTTGCTTCCACCACGAAAAAGTCAGACTTCCTGCACAGCTCGCTCTCAGTCTATCGTTGTTCACAGCGCTGTCGCCGCTGCTTTATTGATTTAACTTAACTGACTTCTGACAAGGAAGCGTAATTTCTGCTGTTCAACACTGAACAGATGAAACTTTATAAAACGCTGAGTCTCTAATCAAACGCTGTAACTTTGCTTCACTGCAGCATCAGGTCATGTTTATGTTGATTGATGTTTTCTTCTGTTTTTGATCGACTGCAGAAGATTTTAAGGTCGTCTGCTATAAAAACCCAGACCAGGAAAATCTGCTTCATGTGTTTCTGTGTTGCTCCGTGACTTTGACACAGAGGCCTCTGCTGTGATGCTCTCACCTCTGATCACGTCTGACAAGCATCAGCTTTTGTTTTTAGAGCTGTAAACATGGATATGTGCTGATAAATGATCAGAATTATAATATTTCTGACTGTCTGAGGCAAAACTTCCCCGAATCGAATTGATCAAATCAGGACCTTGTGAATCGGAATCGATACTCAGCCCGACTTCAGTTTATTTACTGCTGCAGCCAGAACAGAGGCCGAAGGAGGGGAACAGCTTAGCTGTAGCGCCTCTTTACTTCACTGTGCAACACTTTTAGTTAACAGTCAGCGGTGCAATAGACTCCAATAGAAATGTGTATTCTTATTCTATTTATTCTATTTCCCCTTTCGTATATTTTCTTCACATGTGTGTGGATAATATTCTGCTCACGCTCTGTAACTTCTGTCGGTGCTGCTTTTGGAAACCGAATTTCCCAGAGGAACCCACCCGAGGGATTAATAAAGTTTTATCTTATCTTAGAAGTCAAGCCCCTCCCCTTTTAAAGCTCTGGGAGGGGCTTTAATGAATTAGAAAGGAAGTCCGTCTGTAGTGCTTGTTTGTGATTGGTGGAGCTGATGTTACCTGATGCTGTGGTTTGTTTTCCTCCCTGCTGTTGTCAGGCACCGGGCACCCCTCAGACCGTCCGCCTGGCCACGCCCACTCAGACCAGAATGATTCAGCCTCCCTCCACGACCGCCACAGTGCAGGTGTGTTTCCTGCTGGCAGCACGTCATGTGATGGTTAACAGTTAGTGCCGCCTCAGCGTGCGTGGGTGTACCAGGTACCTGTCAGCTGTGTGGTCGCTCGCCTGTGATGAAGGCGACAGGCGTGTTAAAGACCCGCCTCAGCTTCCACACCTGAGCTTTAAACTTTTAAAACCGCCATCTTCACACCAGCTCTTTATTTAGAGCGAGCGCGGCGGCGTGTGTCACACGAGGTCAGCCTGATGGTGGTCATGTGACTTTTCTGTTGCTTTACAGAAGGCGCTCGCAGTGGCGCCCAGCATCACACCGGTATCGGTGAAGATGGCGACCCCCCAGAAGGCGCCGACGGTGATCACGACGGGGGGGACGCCTGTCGCCAAACCTGCCGGTGTGCCGTCCACCCCCATGACCAGCACACCGGCGCCCGCAGCTTCGCCCGCCACCAGAGTCACCGTGGTGTCCCAGGTGGGTTCAGGTGCAGGTTTGGGCTGTGATGGAGGCACTTCCTGTCTCTGACCGTCTGTCGTCCTCAACAGGAAATGCAGGAAAACGTGAAGAAATGCAAGAACTTCCTCGCCACCCTCATCAAGCTGGCGTCCCACAACTCGCCCTCGCCGGATACCTCGAAGAACGTGAAAGCCCTGGTGCAGGACCTGCTCGTAAGTAGCTCCTCCTCCTGCTCACTGCCGCCCGATTGGACCTATGGGGTCATGTGATCGTACGATGCCGTCTTCATGTTTTCAGGACGCCAAAATCGAGCCCGAGGAGTTCACCACTCGGCTGCAGGCCGAGCTGAAGTCCTCGCCACAGCCCTACCTCATCCCCTTCCTCAAGGTACCGCCGCCGGCCTGCGAATGCTCCCACTGTGGCTGCAGGTGTTAAGCGTGTGTGTCTCCACAGAAAAGCCTCCCCGCTCTGCGGCAGACGCTGCTCAGCAGCCAGCAGTCTCTGATGACCGCACCCCCCGGCGCCGTGGTCACGCCTCCGGCCACCCCCGGCTCAGTCACCGCCACCACCATCAGGCCGCGGCTGCCCGTCAGCCCGGCCGGCGGCACCGTCCGTCTGAACGCGCCCATCGGCACGGCGGCTCTGGTAAGAATCGTCAGGTCAACAAAGAGTTTTAACCTTTGACCTTGTAAATATGAAAATATTTTGGATGTTTTAAAAAAACGCTCCAGCTGCAAACCTGCGTCAGACGCGTTTATTCGGACTCTAACGTCCTCACCGGAGCGCTGCGGGTAACCGTGAGCACGCCACTCGCCGTCAACAAACAAGCGAACGCTGACCCCTCAGAGGAAGTCTGAGGCTCAGCCCTCTGTGATGATGATGTAATGATGATGTCATGATGCTCTCCTGCAGCCTGTGTGCAGACCGGGAGTGCAGACCGTGCAGGCTCGGGCGCCGATTGTCTTCAGACCTCAGGGTGAGTTTATCGAGCTGCTCGGCGCACCTGAGATTCACTTTTGTTTTAAGGGGCGGAGCCTCCTTAAGCCGCTCAGTTTTAAATAAATCGGCTGTTTTAAAGGTTAAAAAAAGCAGCAAGCGCCACCACCAGGTGGCAGCAGACCGCAGGGTCATCAGGCCTGTTTCACAGCTGGTGGGAGGAGCTTTTTATTTTTTAACAAGCATTTTTCCCTTTTCAGCTACGCTGCAGGTGAGAGGACCCACAACCATCATCAGCAAAAGCCCTGTGAACCTCGCAGCTCAGGCCAATCAGAAGAAGCTGAGCGATCCAGGGGGCGGGACGTTCAGGTGAGCAAACGTTATTTAAAGAGTAAAAAACGTCTGCGACACCTGTAAACTAACAATGGACACGGAGCGATGGATAAGCTAATCCCGGAGGTCGAACAGAGATACGGAGGCCCCGGAGCGCCAAAAACAAGCATCAAAACAGGAAGTGCAGAACAGCTGTTTCAGTCACACAGGTCAGCTTCACTGAGGACGGTCGAGGGTCGCCTCACCTGAAACAGGTGACGTTCATTTAAAAACATCAGCTGAGAACACCTGAGCGCGTCGCATCAGTCTGGAGAAGGT